ATATGCTGCCGAGGCATGCAAACACCAACACCACTGAAGTGGTGGAAAAGCATTTAACCCTCTTTAAAGTGTCATGAACACACACCTCTTGTTTAATCTACACATGGCCCTAGTGAGTAAATTAGAGAGTGAAGAAGAGAGAAATTAAAAAATGGTTATAAATTTAGGAGACATGATTTAGGAATTAAGGTTGAACAAACTGGGTTTATTTAGTCTGGAAAAGAGAATAATGAGGGGAGATTTGATAACAGTCTTCAAATACCTGAAGGGTATTTGTAAGGACACAGGAATAGACTATTCTCTGTGGTTGCAGGGGACAGGACAAGACATAAAGTCTTAAATTGCAACAAGAGAATTTTTGGTTGGATATTAGTGGAGCTTTGTAACTATGCTGGTTGGTAAGTATGGGAACAGAATACCAAGAGAAGTTGTGGTATCTTCATCCTTAGAAGAATTCCAGAGAAGGTTAGACAGACACTTGACTGAAATTATTTATCTAGGGATGATCCTGCCTTGAGCAAAAGGTCTCTTTTCTATGTTTCTACATGTCTTTTATTTTCCTGCATAATCAAGAAGAAGATCAATTTGCAAAAACCGGGCTCTTCAGTCTAGCAGGCAGAATTATAGCTATTCCAACCTGGAAGTTGAACCTAGCCAAACTTAGACAAAGTTATTTTAATTGTGAGGTTATTTAATCATTGGAAAAAAACTTACCATGTATTGTGGTGGATTTTCCTTCCTGAAAATTATTGAAATCAAGATTGGATGTTTTCTAAAGCATACTTTCTTTAAAGAGAAAATTCAGGTAGCTTGCTTGGTCTGTTTCATACCAGTGTTCAGGGAAAATGATCACCAAATTTCCTTCTGGCCTTGTAATCTATGGATTTTATAATAAGCTGTCATTCAGTGGAGCTGGAAGTAGGGATACAGATGGGGTGTCTGTCCTCTACAGATTCTCAGAGGCAAACAGTTGCCAGCTGGCCAGGTTTTGTAACATGAGCAGGAATTACTTAGAAAAGTTATTTGCAGATTTTTCAATAATTCTGTCCTTCTTTCTGCCATGCTGAGTAAGAAAACATTTGCATGCAGCACCATTAAAAGACATGCAAGTATGAAAAGAAACAGCTGTGAGTAAATCTTGCAAGTAGCAAATTATTTCAGGTCTCCCACTCCACTCAATTTTGCACTGGGACAAACAATCAAAATAATATCAGGATAGAAAGCAAGATGGAAGGGGCCAGAGCAAAAAGTTTCAGCTGTAGAGACAATGGCTTAAAACATGCATAACCTATGCCTTTTGCTACTTTCATTGAAGTGAGTTGGGCTATTCATGTAAAGTTTGCAGTTTTCTCAGTTTTCAAGAAGCACAGCTTTCCGTCATACTGTTACTGCTGTACACTTGCAGTCTAATCCTTACTGTGTTCGAATGGAATAAAGCTCCTGTTGTCTTAACGGGGACCAGGATTTGGCTCTTAGAAAAGCCCCTTCTCTTAAAGAATTCCTTATACAAACTTCATTGTGCTTCACTGAACTATGAGAGATATACAGGTGATGTAGGGAACACCACAGTGTTTAAATAAAATCCTCCTCAGAATTTAGGTCTTGATTTTCAGTCCTGTATTTTAGCCCCACACATCAATACATGATAGGTAGTATTTAGTGCCTTGCTCAAGATTTCTTTTCTTCTGCCCTTTTTGGAGGTAGTAAAATACGTCTACAGAAAATTGTTTTTTGCCCTTTGAACTGCAAGCTAAAAATTATAATTTTTTTCCTCTGTTAAAATCTATTTGATTTTATTTGCTTTCTCCCTCTCTCCTTTTTATCCCCCGTGGTGTTTCACACTTATGGAGTGTATGATACCGCACTTAAAGTTATTAGCAGAAACACTGTTACAAATACAAATAAACACATTTGTGTTATTCCAACATTGAATAATAATAATGACTTTTTACAACTAAGAAGTTGATTTGAGGAAGTCACTTTGAATAGTTTTTTAGTATTAAAAATAAAAGCATGTTTGTGCTCTGTTTTTAGTTTCTCAGTGATATTTTCATATTTTATTTTTAAATAAAGTAAAAAGATATATTAATGAAAAGATATATTTAATAAGTCTTTGTAATCCTGAAGGCAAATATGTTGGTGTGCACCTAAATATTATTCACCATGTAGTTATGGCTCTTGTTTTATTTAAAACAAAGGGGGGTGCCTTATTCCATTTATCTTAGATAAAGTCCAATTGATTTCCATTGTCTGTAGTGGTAGGCAGTTTTAGGAAAAGAAAAAGAGAAAAATATTCTGTATGGACATGTTTTGCTACAGTATGGATCTGTCTGTATGTATTTGTTTCTCCTAAGGCTATTTTTGGTTTTATTCTTTTAATATTTTATATTCTTAAATACTTCATGCACCTGTTTCAGGATTGGGATAATGCAGTAAAAAAGAATAGAAAAATAAGATGGAGTAAGAGAGGAATAGGAAGCATAATAACTTTAATTTAGTATATAAACAAAACTTCCCATCTGAGGGTTTCAAATGAGATCAGAGGTGCCATAATTAAAGTAGAAAGAATTTTTTCTACCTTTAAACTTAAAATGTTCCAGTGTATTTGCTAAATGATATGGCAATGAAAACTAGCCAATCTGTCCCCCCTGCTAAAGGCTTCATTCTCCCAAGTCAGGACTATTGAAATGCTTCATTGAAGCTTAACATGTCATTTATTTGTTGGATCGTTGTCTTTTTTTTTTCCTTTTAATTGCCAGCAATGTTTTCCCAATTTTGTATAAATTGCTAGTATTAAACTTCCTATTGTGTTTGAATTATTGACAACAGCCAACCCATTGTTTTCTAAATAGTCGTTATGTGCTCTAATCATAATGGTACTGAAGTTCAGCTTTGTAGGAGCTATGACCAGAGAAAAACTAGGGGCTCAAAGAAGGATTCTACAGTCTGAGGGTGGGTGTCTTTACATGTGCTCTGGAGTTGGAGGGGGTACTTTAATTAGAGCGGTTTTCAGGAGCCGCTCTAATGACAGCACCCTCAGCATCTCATGCATTCAGCATCCTGCTCTTCAAAATGGCAGTGTGGACACTTTAACTATGCTTGTTTTACAAGATTTAGTTCAGGCACCCCCATCGCCATTTTGAAGCATGGGGGCACTGAATACACATGCCACTGAGGCTGCTTGAGCATAATAATTAGCAGACTAAATTAATCAAGTCTAATTAGCAGGTGTCAGGCACATTTGCAGGTGCCCTAAGTGTTTTATTTTCATGGCGCTTCCTCTGGAACTACAGATTCAGGTCCTTGACTACCACTGAAGAGCCTACAGCATAACTCAGGAGTGGGAGATGTAAACTACTCTTTTGTTCTACCAGTTCTGGAACATACTTTTACTGTTGTTGATATGTCCCATTATCTAAATAACAGCACATCCCTTATCCAAATAATGGCCTGGCTGGCAAAGGCACTTATGGTTGGGGAATTTCCAGAATGCAAGAATGTCCCCACTTTGGTAGACATTGGATGTCCACAATGTGACATGGGTCTACATTGTGGATAAGGGAGAAATTAACACATTTAATCTTTTTTTTTTATTTTATGAGAGTTCTTGGGGGGAAAAGTCATAATTTTGCATTGTATTTAGGAGTTATGATGTTAAGAGAAGAATATACACTATGTGACATTGGACAGGCTGCAGTTGGAGTACTGTGTCCAGCTCTGGGCACCACACTTCAGGAGGGATGTGGACAGCATCGAGAGAGTCCAGAGGAGGGCCAGTCGCATGATCGGGGGAAGCAGGGCAGGTCCTACAAAAAGAGGCTAAGGAACCTGAACCTGTTTAATCTCCACAAAAGAAGGCTGAGAGGGGATCTGGTGGTCACCTATAAACTTGCCAAGGGGGACCAGCAGGCAATGGGAGAGTCCCTCTTCCCCCCGAGCACTACCAGGGGTAACAAGGAACATAGGCCATAAGTTGACTGAGAGTAGATTCAGACTAGATATCAGGAGGCACTACTTCACTGTCAGGGCAGCTAGGAGCTGGAACCAACTTCCAAGGGAAGTGGTGCTTGCCCCTACCCTGGGGGTCTTCAAAAGGAGGCTAGACAGCCACCTAGCTGTGGTCATTTGACCCCAGCATCCTTTCCTGTCCGTGGCAGGGGGCCGGACTAGATGATCTGCTTAAGTTCCTTCCGACCCTACCAACTATGAAACTATGAAACTACACTGTTCTTGCTTAATTTGATAAGAAGATATTGAATGCTTCATTTGATTTAGAAAGCAATATAGCTTATTAAAGAGAGAGATACACCTGTAAGAAGTTAGCAGTAATAAAAAGGTGTTTCTAGTTGGGCAGCATATCCCCACTGGAACTGAGTTTTACTAGGGATTTTCGATAACCTTTTTAATAGTCAAGAGCAAACTTGAACAAATTATAATGAAATGTCAACTGATGGAAAAAAATAAAACCAATGGAAACTATATGGGTCTGATCTTGTAACCTTTACCCAAGTAGTTGCATTGACTTCATTTGGACTAATCAAGTGAGTAAGAAAGCAATATGAGTCCCTAAACTGTAATCAATTAAAGGGCAAAATACTTACATAGAAGTTTAACATTTAACAACTTCTACAGAAATTATTAAGATCCTTATCCTACTGAATGTACTGTAAGTGGCAAAACTCCTGCTGACTTCAGTAACAGTCGGATCAGGTTTTCTGTTCATAAACTCAGCTATTTGTGATTCATTAGAAGTGTAATATACAGACCACTTTCTACCAGTAGTCACTCAGGTAACATGCTACTGGAAGAGATGGAATCTCAACTCATCTAAAATCATTGTTTTTCTTTACTTTTGAGAGTTGAAACACATGTAATGCTTTACATACTGCCCCTTGCAGTGACTGTTCTTTTAAAATTGCTTTTGTTTTTAATGTTCCAGTTCTGCATGGATCAATATTGGACGTGCAATTTCATTTAACATTATCTTTTACTGTAACCAGGAACATTTTGGAATTCAGCCTCCTTCAATACTGAGACCTCATATCTTCATTTCCCTACTTTCCATGGAGAACTCAGTGCCGATGTGTCATTCTTCTTTAAGACTACAGCTTCTTCTGGTATGTTTTTAGAGAACCTTGGCATTAAGGACTTCATAAGGATAGAGCTGTATGGTAAGTCCTATTTACTAAGGCTTTGGTTTAGATGAAATGAAAATTCAGCCCAAAAGGGCCATGATATTTAACATTTTCTCTGTTATTATTGTTATTTGTGTTTTATTATCTGTTTACTATTCTTATAGTAGCACACAGCAGGCCCCAACTGAGATCAGAGCTCCATTCATTTAGGCATTGTACAAACATGCATTAAGAGGTAATCTTTACCCCCAGACAGTTCATAATCCAAACAGACAAAATGGACAAGAAGTGGGAGAACCACAATTTCCATATGGGGAATTGAGGCATAGAGAAACAGGTGAGTGATGTTGTCATGCTGTGACAAAGCTAAGGAACCAAACCATATTCTCATCCACCTTATGTAGAAGCTTATTCTTCCTCCATTTGTTTCTTTTTATATTTCCAGTCCTGCAAGCTATTATTCACGGGCATAGTCCTTACACAGTGGAGTAGTTGCATTGAACTTAATGAGATGACTCACAATTTTACATTTGAGCATGTGATCGCAGGCTTTTGTCTGCTGGTTTAACTTACTGAAGAAATGAGACTTCAAAGATGGAGACATATTGCTTTAGACACTAAGTTTTCATTTTAAATGTCACATTGCTTGGCAACCAGTGAGCTTTATAGTCACATGAGTCTGTGTCACTTTTTCTTGTGAAAGTTATTAATGAATTTTCTACCTTAGAATTGTATCCTAAAAAAGCCCTATTTTAGCCTGCTTAAAAGTATGAGCACATCAGTGGAAAATGGGGCTTGTATATAATAATACGGTAAAAACACTTCTGTAAAGTAAATAAATCATATTTGCTGATTTGGAAATACTACTGTTTATAGCCAGTTTGCAGGTATTGTTGTACAATAAACAAGGCTGAAAAACACAACAGAGTACTAGACCCCCCTCTACATGTGCAAGTGAAGGCATGATGGGATGTAATACACAATCTACACAATCACGCCTTCTGTCATGCACACATGGGGTTGCAAGTACCCCTGGGCCTGGGAGATTGCAGGGGCCATGGTCCTCCAGGCTCAAGGTCTTTATGAACCCCAAGACAGCCATTCCTCCTGGCTGTAGGTATCCAGCTGGGTCCCAGCACCCAACATCCACAACTCTGGGTCTCTGGGTACTTGTGCTGCCAGATCCCAGAATCAGTGACTGTTGGAGATGAGAGTTGTGGGACTCCCAGCCTCAGCTGGGCATGGTGCACCCTTGTGGCTGGGAACTTACTGGCTGATGGGACTCCCAGCCTCAAGGGGGACCCTGCTACATGTGCAAATTAAATCTCAGCAATTACACTTGATGATCTTTGGTTCAGATGGTCTCCTAGACTATTGTACCAAAGTTCAAATGAGAGAAACTGTATTTTCCCCAGTGTTTTACCATATCAGGCAACAATATTATTGAATTAGCTTGTGTTAGAATGGTGTGAATTGGTATGAAGTACAGTGATGCAATAGCCTCAGAGAGCCGCGAAACACAGGAAACATCAATACATGCTCTTGTTCAGCATGCCAAAGCAGAATCTCAGAAGCTGTAATGATGTTCTTGTGGGATAGTGATGTTCCCAGCTCAAAATGCTGACATTTCAAAATAAATGGTATAATCAGGAGATGGAATGTACAGATCCATGTAGGTGAATTCCTAATAAGAAAAACTTGATTGCCGTGTTCACCAATTTGATCCAGTCTCTAGTCTTACATACCTGTATTTACACATACAGCAGAACCTAGTTATTTGGTAGGGATACTGTATAGATGAGGGTTTACAAAGTTACCATGGGATACAGAATGGCTGAGGTGCTCCCATTATTTGCTACAGCTTTGATTTCAAAGGACACCAGTGCTCTTATCAGCTGCTCAGGACTGTTGCTGAGCTCCAGCTGAGAGGAGAAGCAGTGCCCACAGCAAACTGCTGAATGGTTCATCCTTAATTTGGCAACCTGCTGCAAAATAAACAGGCTATGAATCATTTGGATGCCTGGATGATCTGTATTCTACTGTACTTATATCACGTCCCTCAATCTAATCACAATCTTCCTAAATTTTCATCACTTATACACATTATTAAGATGACTTATGACTAATGGGACAAGAGGAATTAATGTTAGTAGTGGAACACCCATGCTAAATTAAATGAGTTACATCATTAAATTATTTTTAGATTTATGCCACTATTCTACAGGAAAGACAGAAAGGTTTCTTCACTTTGACCATAGTTACTTTCATTCTCCTGAAAGTTAGACCTGTTCCCAAAAAAAACGGAAGTTTGTCCTGAATGGCTGATGATAAAGATAGATAAAGAAGATAAAACCAGTCAGATGTTAATGTTTCTGTTGCCACAGGGTTGTTTTTTGGAGGAAAAAATAGATTACTCTCTCTCTTATTTTTAGCATATTGATACTGTGTAGACTGTCAGAATCTGGGAATTTATGGGTTACTAGATCTAAGTTACTTAGGGAGGTGTTAGAGTCATTGCTGGAATTGATTATCAGTTAAAGGAGGGCAAAATACTGACCTCTCTCTAAAGAAGTAGTTATTAAGCATATTATTGAAAAGCTATCTTTGAACATGGAGAACCCCTCCCAGTATCATCCAATATTAAATCTCCTATTGCAGAAAATGATTATCAGTAGGTTATGACTAAACAGGTCTAGCAGTATCTGGATTCCTCAGGTCTGCTTTGACCCCAGTTCACTGAGTTTTAATTCTTAAAACTGCAGTAGTGATATTGATGTTACTGACACTGATGTTCAATCTTATTCTTTAACCTCTTGGCAGTGATGTTCAATCTTATTCTTTTGAGTATCAACTACATTTGCCAGTTAGGTGTTAGGAGGTTCACACAGTACACTGAAGTAGGAAGTGATTAACTGTGACTTTTCACTGGCTACATTAATTTCACTCCCAGTGTTCCATAGAATAAATGTATAATAAATGTATAAATAGTCCATGTATTAACCTTTCTTAAAAGACATGCATTTTAGGCCAGGAAGGAAGTACCAGCTATATACACGTCTCTTACTACTACTAAACTGCAAAGGGATGACAAATCCAATTCTTGACAGATTGGGACACAGCTGAAGATTAGGTAGCTGAGAACTAATCCAGAAAAAAATTCCACTGTAATAGGTGGAAGTTCATAATTTCCTAAGTTCATAATTTGTTTCACAAGAAGAGACCATAAAACTTTAGCTATCATGCTCTCAGATGCCAGAATTTATGGCATGCAGTTTTTATTCTTGGTACTTGGCAAGGAGCTCTAACTTCTTTTCATATGAATGGGGGCATCTGTCACCCATGAGGCTTATTTACTTCTACGTACTTTGTGAGTTGCACCCTCAAACTATTCTGAAATTGCAGCAGTACAGACTGTGGCAGTGTGTTTTATAAGGTTAATTATGAAGACAATGTCTGACGTATGCTTAAAAAATGCCTAGTAGCTACTGCAATGTTGGTTTTGGCCTATAAATATAATTTATCTTTCTTCTAGGGGTACAGCAAATTAAATAATTTCTTTTATAAAAATATACATTTTCTGATTTTAACAAAAGATTTTATCACCTTGACTATTTGA